AGGTATTTATAGAGGCTATAGTAGATATAGAATACTATAAGCTATTTATCACTCTTTATAATATAGAGTTTATTAAAAGCCGCGATAATATTAAGTTTAGTAAAGTACTTAGCTAATAAGAAGCGAGTAAGGGTTTCTTAAATAAGTAGAATAGAGTACTTATTCTTAGCTATAATTGCGTTAAGGCTCTAGTAGTCTATATAGAAATAGAAGCCCCCTTTAGGCTTTTAAATAAAAAGAATATGGGAAGCTATAGGGCTACTACTAGAGTAAATAAAGCCTTTTATAAAATAGTCTTTTAGATACTTTTTTAAGACAAGTAGCTCCTCTTAGAATGTTTTATATAGAGGCCTAGTAGGCGGTTCTGTTTCTAGTTATAGCTAGATATAGTGGTTATAGGTATAATATAGAGGTAACTAGTCTAAAAGGTATTTTAAAAAGATATCTAGGAATTTATAGTACTTAGGGGGTAAGATAGTAGCTAGGTCTATAATCTTTTTAAAGATAAGGGCCTTTTTAACGTCTCTTATTATAATTATAAAGAGCTAGTAGCCCGTCTTCTTAGTATTTACTAGGTAGGTAAAGAGTGTTATACTAATTACATAAATATCTAGGGTTTTTTATAGGAGTAGGTTAAGATTAAGTAGCTCTTTAGTCCTCTTTTAGGGTACTATAATAGAGTTTAGATAAGTGTAGGAGATAGTATTCCTATTAGAAAGTACTAATAGTTATTAGCTAGTATTAAGTATAGTTTAGTAAGCTAGTAGCTAAGAATAACTAAGAATAACTAGAAAATAACTAAGGTAGATAATAAAAAGAGTAAGGGTCTATTTAAATAACTCTACTAGGAACTTAACTTAGATAAAATAGGTGATATTACTAGTAGTAGTAGGGCGCCTATTAATAACTTTAAGGGTAATAGGAGAACTAAGGGGAAGGACATAAAGGCTAAGGTTTTATATATAAGATTAGTTAATAAAAGTGGTACTAGAGGCTCTAGTATTAATAAGAGTAGTAGACTTATATTTATATAAACTAGTAACTAAGGTATAGTTAACTATAAGGTATTTATTTATATTAAAGTCTTACTAAGAAGATTAGGAGATTATAAAAAAGGAAATCTTAACTATCTTAAATAAGGGTCCCTATAAGTAACTTCTAGTAGGAACTACTTATTTTCTAAATAAGTTAAGTCTCTAAATAGGGTATTAGAGTCTAGAGTATTAGGAGTAGAGCTAAAGTTAATTATATATATAGTAGTATAAGGCTTCTTTAGGTGGTTATAGACTCTATAGTTGCCGCTATAGTATAGATACTTATTATTATTAAAATACTATTACTTTACTTTAAGTATAATTAGATTCTACTAGATATAACTAATTATAAGGTCTATAGAGTTACTATAGTTATAAGCTATAGGTGTAGACTATAGTATAATTAGTATAGAATAAGAAGCTAGCAAGGAGGTAGTTATAATAGTTATTATATAGAAGATACTAGTAGTAAAAAGTAAAGCTAGAAAGAAGTACTTTTAAAAGAATAATATACTAGTTACCGCGCTTATAGTAGCGTATAGGCGCCTATTAATATACTAGTAGAGGTAGAAGTACTTAAAATAGCTTATTTTCTTAGTATTCTAGCTTATAAGAGCGCTTCGAATCTTATTTAATAGATTTATAAAGAGTATAGACTTCTTTCTATTATTATTATACCTAGTATCGTGAATATAGCGCTAGAAATTAGTAGTAAAGATAATAAAATCGTGATTCTTTTAATAGATCTTAGTAATTTTAGCTTAGATAGTCACTTTAGAGTTTAAGTTACTAAAGAATAGTTTAAGGTACTTAATTATTTTCTTAACTAATTTAAACTTAAGTATACTATTTATGTAAATATATAGAAGGAAGAGTACTTAAGTAGCACTCTTAAGGCAACTATATAAGTATAAGGTTTAGGTGGCTTTAGTAGAGTATTAGTTAGTATTAATATAAAGCTTTATATAGATATTTATAATAAAAGAGTAGAGGGTGGTATAGTTAGAACTAGAGAATAGTTTTAGGTTAGAAAGTTTTTTTAACTTTTTAGTTAAGTTAGTATTTAGTTAGACGGCTTAAGCTATAAGTTAAGCGATATATTTAGTTACTTTAGCGTATATAATAACTATAGTATTATACTATTATATAAGGTCTTTAAGTTACTTTTTAAAGGTGCTACTATAGGTATATATCTTATTAAACTAGTTTAAGAGGTTAATAAAGAACTAGTACTAGGTATTAGGGTTCTTTAGAACTTTTATAGCAAGCGCTATAGAAGAGTTAACAGCTATAGAAGCTTATAGTATATTAGAGGTATTACCTATAAATATAGGCGCTTTAGTAAAGGTAGAAGAATATATAATAGACTATAGCTAAGCTATAATAAGAGATAATTAGTAGATATAACATAATATTATAATATAGGGAGGCTTAATACTAGAACTTGATTTATTAGAGTAATATATAAGATATTATATAAGGTTAGAAGGTGTAGTAAGGAAAATAGAAAGATAACTCTATAAGTAGAGTATATAACCTAGTCACGTAACTCTAGAATAACTAAAGATTCGAGTGCTAAGAAATACTAAGTCTAAACTATAATACTACTAAGTATATCTGCTAGGCTAGCTTATTATTAGAGACTAATAAGGTATTAGGCGTAAGGGTACTAGTTGTAGGATTAGAGGATATTTCTATTAGCTCTTATATTATAGGAAGTAATAGTAATAGTAGTGGCGTTTAGACTTTAAGGCCGAAAAGGTCGGTTAAGCTTATAACTATTAGTGTTAAAATAGTTGAGTTTATTAGGAACAAATCGATATTAGAGGTCGATATTAATAGGTAGTTAGTATCCTCTAAGTCTTCTAAGAAGATATTAATATCTCTCTTAGTAGTGGATTTAAGATAGTAAAAGAGTAGAGGAAACTTAATTAGGTCGAGGTATTAGTAATATATTATACTAGTAGTAGGCCTTAGTCGAAGATTATATTAATAATAAATAGTAGTTTGCTTGTTTATAGCAGAAGACTAGGTATTTAGTTAGTTGGTTTAATTGCAATAAGAGGCTGGAAGTTATAATAATAATTAAGTGGTTAGTGTTTTAGTAAGGTGGTAGGTAATTAAGGGGGTTAGTAACCCTAGCTATCTTGTTTTTAGCGAATAAACTACTATACTTAGAACACTTAGCTTTGTTTTTACAGAATCTGGGCTTATAATCTAGTAAAATAGATAGCTAAGTGGTTCATTGATTTAGCTATAGATAGTGGGGAGAGGCTAGCTATATACTCCATCTAAGGCTTGCCAGCCTCCGCCTTTTTGGTTGAACACGTGACATGCACGTGATATTCAACATTCACATACCTAAATACCCAGTTCCCGAAGGCTCGACCGAAAGGGCAGCCATACCATCAGCCAGTTCGTTTATGTCTGTTGTTTCTTCGCTCTAATCGAAACCATCAGCCGCCTGGGGAAGAGCTTCGGACGTTGTCTCATTGGATCCTGCATATATCCTCTCTGGATGTGTCACATCCTTGGTCCAGTAGTTTCTGAGGACGCCGGCGGAGGAAGGCGAGGATAAGACGTCCTCGAGGTTGACGCCAGGGAGAAGTCGTTCGAACAGCTTTTCAACCCCGACTCGCGGTAAGCGAAGAGCCGTACGGCAATGCCTGACGACCGGGTATCGCCCTCCATTCTTCCTTCTGGCGTGACACCTCCGATGTTGCCTGGCCGGCGGCTAGCATAACTCAGCCGCTTCAATCCAACAGTAGAACTACGATTCAGAGCAGGTAATGTGCCACCGAGAGAAGCAGTGGATTAGTTTGGTATATCAATCATGCGGGGACGGGATATTCCATGGCTGAAGGCAGCTGACTAATCAGCCGCCAGAACTGATATTCACGACGTCTTGTTGATAATGCCCTTGGTTTTATCACCCTCAGCACACCACTCAGGCACTTTGATCAGGATTGATGGAGGTATCTAGGGCGTTGCCCGGGAAGCAAATTAGAGCTAGACACTTACATCAACGACTGTGACATCGTTAGCGGCGCTGAATTGTTTGACGCCGATAGTCAAGTCACAAGCATCCATCTGGTCATTAAACGTGATATATGATCGATGATATTCATAGATAGTCCAGCACTGCCCTTGCTATGTACAGTACGGCGCTCCGACGCCGATGTCATTGCTCTTTGCTTTCAAGCGCATAAGCAAGGTGCTTTGGACGGAACAGCGAGCAACAGCAGATCAATGTCCTCAAACAGACCCTCCATTAGACTCCCTCGACGCCGGCGACCAGTCGCATGATACGTCGTCCTCCTCATTAAGGAAGGTGACCTGGTACCCGACCGTCTTGATGATGCGTTCCTCGGTTTTCTCGGACGGCTGGTCAAGATCGCTCATCAGGCTTCCGCTTTTTTGCTCGCTCAGTTCAGTCGTGGTGATGGTGTCGCTTGCGCGTGGGGGCAGCACGGCTTGTCCGCTATCACGCTCTATCTCCCTGGTTGGGGCGAAGCCTCTGCTGCTGCGGAGGCGGCGCACTTCCCTTGTGACGAGGGGGGCGAGGAAGGGGAGGGAGGTGATAATGTTCTATACAAGCGCATGAGCTCATTTGGCTTTAGTGATCAGAGGCCGAAGGAGAACCTACGCCAATGTTGAACTCAATAGTTCCCCACAGAATCAGCATGGTTGTATCGCCGTCGCCGAGCGCCGTCCGCGAGATTTGGACGAAGCGGAAGATAGAACACACTGTCGTAAGGAGGCCGAGCAGGAAGAGCGCGCATAGGCCGTACCTTTGCATCTTCTTGATGTTGAGCTTCCGTAGTATAGGTATCGGCAAAACAGCCACCACAACGTCTGAAGCAATAGTAAAGCTTGACACGCCAGATATAACGCCATTTCTCGGCCCTGCGCTTAGGCAGTGACCTGGGAGATAGGGTTTCCAGGCTTTCTCGATCTGATATTAGGAAGAGCGGTGAGTGAGAGCGCCTTCTTAGGCGGGTGTAAAGCTGGCTTACTGGCTTGCAGATAAAGATCAGCCCGAGCGCGAAGGCGGTGTGGCCGAGCACCATAATAATGATTACAATCCAGATAACGCGCCTGTAAACGCGCCAGTTTGTGCAGGCGAGGAGTCGCAGGTAGCTAATACAAAGGGCGACCTTAAACCAGACTATGCCGAACTGGTAGATGTGTCTACCGGCGTAATTGATCTAGAACCGATGTCAGTATTGGACTGTTCCTAGGTTTTCGGGACTATATGCTACTGACCCTTACAGCGGTCGTTCCAAATGTTCTAGGACGCAGAGCGAGTGGAAGGCCGAGTCCATATCGGGTTTCTAGTAGAGAATAAGTTTTTGCGCATAAAGAGTAGTTATTTGACGCAGCTTACGAGCTACACAAAGAGAGCTGTAAATGATACTGAATACCTATCTTCAGCCGTTAGCCAGGCCTATGCTTTACAGTTTCACACTTTGTCGAGGAGAAACTAACCATTGCAACAGCCGCTATGTAGTCATCTGCAGCAAGCCGGTGCTTGCGAAAGGATAGGAAGACACGAATGGATACGACCGCGGTCGCTAAAACAGTAAGAGTTACGCATACTGCAATGATAGTAGGGTATCTTGACCGCTCTTCAATTTCAGGAGAGGCGTTGTAGACCCAGCCCATGGTGTCGCTTCTCCACACAGTGATCCTCCATAACACGAAACACGAAGGATATTATAATGACAAAGGAGGAGAAGAGGGCAAGTACCTTAGGTAAAGTCAGCAATGCGAGGGCGGTACAGGCTCTAGCGTTGTGCCTGGAACGGTCAAGTGAAGGAGCCACGGCTCCGTTTGTATGCATGTTAGGCGAAGTTGCATGAAGATCCCCCGACGATGGGAGGGTGCAACAGCAAAGCGACTCTCGCCGTCCTCCGCAAAGACATGCTTGGATGGTGATCCGTTGAGGTTGCTGGCATTGCCTGGTAATTGCGCACGTCTGCTTACGAGCTTGCGCACCACAGCATCCTTAGAAGGTAGTGCAGAATAGCAAGTTCTCAGTAGTACTCTACCGATACAAAACATTCCCAGCCGTCTACTTGCATGAGCACCCCAGGGATGTGTGGGAACCGGACGGTCCGCTTCCGTTCGGAATTCCAAGATTTCTTTGCTTCGCCAAAGTCTATTTGCAGACCTAGGTCCAGGAATCCCTGGCGCCGTTGATGCACGTTTCCCCAGGACCGTCGCTTCCAGGTGTCGTTGCGTAATCCAACGCAACGAACGCCTGCCATCGAGGATTGTCAACCGAAGAGGCGTCACCGATCGCTGGTGAAAGCGAGCCGTTCCGCCGGTGGTGAGCTACGGAACCTGTTCTGCAACAACCACTCGTGCTACTTTCGCATCATTACCCCTGAGCAGCACAGCCAATCTCTCAGCGGGGCGTCAAGGTACGAAGTACATTGTTTCAGAATGCGCCAAGATAGAACCGGTCAGCTTGTTCTCGAACTCGCGGGCAGACGCCAACCTTGGGGGCGCTCTCACATGAGCAACGCGTGGGTAAGATTAGCTCAACGACTGAGTTCGACACCAGCAACGTCGCAAGCTGCCACTGTGCAGGAACATGGAGCTTGCTGGTCCACAAGTGGCTAATGGTCGCGAGTACCCCGCATTTGTAGCGGAGAACAACCACGCCGTTTGTTTCAACGGCGCGTCAGTGACGATTTTAATCGACCCGTCGGCAGGCCCAGACGCTACTTCGAGCTGTTGTACCTGGAGCCGTCCAAGGCGAGACCAGATCTTTACTCATACCGCCGAAGAACGACCGAATTCTCAAGACCAGGTTAAACGGCGATAGAGCGCTGTGAGGGCGAGACAGGCACAGACGAACAAGATCGCAAGAGTGTTAAGAAAAGAAAAGGCTGTAAGCCGCTACGCTACAACATGCTCTCCGAAGAAGATGTTTTTGTAAAGGTGAGTAAGTGTGGACATGAAAGTGCTTGCCACCCTTTTTGTCGAATACATATCCAGTCTCTAGACCTAAGACTTTTAAGAATTTCTTAAAAAGAACGCCGCTAGAGGCGATTGTATAATAGATATATATAAGTAAGAAAATATAATCTATTTTATCTATCTATTAAGCTCTAAATAATAACGCCTAGAAATATATATATATAGTAAGAAATCTTATATTAGTTATAAAATCTATTACGCTAAAGTGGCCTATATTTATTAAATTACTATATAACACTAAGCTGCTTCCGCTTAATATACTAAATAGAATATCTATTATAAAAACTATATAGACTTATTTCTAATAGCGCTAAAACTCTATACTATAAAAACTCTAGCCTAGTTAGCTAGAAATAGTAGATATTCTCTACTATTTATAAAGTATACCTATTTTAGTATTATCTTCTTAATAGTTAACTATTTCTTACTAGCGCTATATAGTTTATTAAGATTATAGTCTTCTAGTATACTAAGATCTTTAAGTATATTCTACTTATCTTTATTCTATAAGTTATTTAAGCTATATATCTTCTTAAATAGAGTAAGCTACTTAGAGTTATCCGCTATAGTTTAATTCTAACTATTATTATTATTATAGAGAATTAAGCGCGCTTCTTACTATAGTATATAATTAGAAATAGAGGTATCTTTAACTAGTTACTCTTAAGTAAAGTAGCTAAGCTAGATAGTAAGTATCTTCTAGTATATAGCTACTATAGTAGTATAGAAAGTTTATTACATAGAAGCTAGTATAGAGTGCGCGTGCAGAGATTTTAAGGTTCTTAAGAATAAACTAGTTAATAAAGTAAGTAAGACGGTTAACCACAATTTATATTATAGTAGAAAGCTATATTACGCTCGCTCTACGTATTGTTTAGCCTTATATAACTTACTACTATAATCTTATTGCCGCTTTGATTGTTCTATCTTAATATTTTACCTCTATAGATATATATAATCTACTCACCTAAGTCCTATACTTAAACCGCTTACTTATAATACTACTATCTAATTAGATTAGTTTAATATAGCTAAAATATTAGCTAGTTATAGTCTAGTACTAGTTACTAAAGTAATAGAGAATTCCTAGCTAGAATCTATAGAATAATCTTTATATATAGCTAATATATCTAGTAGCTAGTATTAGGTACCTATAGATACTAGGTTTAAGGTAGAATTAGAAGTACTAAATAAATAAATTAAAGTACTTTTTTTTACTAATTAAGGAACGTGGTATTATATAAGTTATAAGTATATATACCTCTATACTAAGGCTATAATACTCTTTTAAATTCTTTATCTTAGCTTTATTATCGAATTTCTTTATAAGATAGTTATTATAATCTTACTACTTAGTAAATCTCTATCTATAAAAGCTATAATAACTATTAATAGTTATTACTTCCGCCTTTTAGAAATCTATAGAATCTATTATTTTGCACTTATATATAAGTTGAAAGTACTATTAAAAGTAGTCTCTATAATAGAATATTTAAGTATCTCGCTATTACGAACCGCGGCCGATGACGCGGAACAAAAGGTGATTAGTACTAAATGTCACGTGAGGGACTAATCACTTAGGATGCTAAGAGGTGCCTAATTAGTGTGATTAGTGTGATTAGGAACGGATTACTCTAATTAGGGGGATTACGGTGCGAGGCATTATAGTATATAGGCCGCACTATTCTCGTTTATTAGAATAGTGTGCTTAACTTAAATAAGAATTTAGTATTCTTTATAACTTAATCTAATCTCACTACGTGATATTAATCCTTACTATATTAACTATATTTTGGCACTATTCCCTACCTCCTTAATTAGGACTCTAACTATTACAGTAACCTTTGTTATCTTATAATAGCACCTTGTTACACTTTAAGCACCACTTTCGTGGAACACCTAAGATTAACATGTCGCTATATCTACTATAGGATCGACCGCCAGACTATCGAGGGGATAGGCACCGCCGCTACCCCTAGCACCGAAACTAGTTAAGGTTAAAGTACCGGATAAATATAGTGGAGAGCGTAATGAACTCGACTTATAGCTACTCTAATGCGATCTGTATATTTAGCACAACTAGGAACGTTTCTAGAAAGAAAACGAAGTGATGTTTATTGTCACCTATCTAAGGGGATGAGTATTTAAATGGATCTAGCCCTATCTTAAGGATTTTCTTAAGAATAATAAGCGTAACTAGTCCTAGGAAACAACGGAACTATTTACTAATATACTCTCGTTTAAAGTAAAGATACGACGAGTATTCAGAGACATCGACGCGGCATATACTATAGAAAGAGAACTAATAAGCCTGACTTAGAGAGGGTTGGTAGCTAACTACGCTGCCTAGTTCTAATTAGTAGCATTAAACACCTTATAGGACGAGATAGCTTTAACTATATAGTACTACTAAGGATTAAAAGAGAACGTTAAGGATAACTTAGTTAGAGGCAACTGACTAGATTGTTTATAGGAAATAATCTCAACGTCCATTAGGATTAATAATCGACTATATAAATAAAGGTTAGAAAAGAAAGGCTATAACGCGCTAGTAGTGGTAGGACGTAAGTAGAACCACCCTACTTAGTATAACTAAGACCCGTATAGGCTTAGGCCTATAGAACTAGACATAACGGAAAGACGTCCGGGACGTTTTCCTAAAAGAAGATTATAGGGGGGACGCGGGACGCCCTTAAGAGGATAAGGCCTATCCTTAGAATAGAAAAAGCCTTTTACCGGAAAGTGCTTTAACTGCAATCGCATAGGATACATCGCCCGAGATTATCGGCATCTAAAGAAAACCCAATTATTAGCAAGGACAAACAGCCTAAAGAAGTAAGGTAAGTTAGCTGCCACTATAACTCACTATAGGACTATATCCTAGACTATATACTATAATAATAGGTGTTAGACACACCTAAGTAATAAGAACGGATCGGGATGGTTTCCGAAGCCACCACGATTAAAATAAGCACTATAAGTTATAAAGAAGGAACCTAGCTAGAGGACCCTAACACAAGAAGACAAATAAGGAATAGAGGAACCACAACCTCTCTTAATTAGGGAAAGGGTTTAAGCGGAATCTAGTTACTAGGGTTTATAGGCGGTAGGCCTAGTCGCACCTACCACTATATTAAGTATTCTTTCTAAGGAAGAGGCCGTATTATTAGATAAAGAGTTATTAGAAGAAGAATTCGGCTCTAATACCTTAAACCTAGCTCTAGACGAGGAACTAGAAGAAAGGGTACCCGAACAAAACCCTATTACGGGGGGATACCCACCCGAGGTATAGTATTAGGCGTACCACGACGTATACGAACTTATAAAAGAACAAGCG